CCCGCTAAATTGATACTCTATTTGGCTCAATTAAACATTAATTAATGGCACTAATGAACAGCGAGCCCGCACTACCGTTGTACAGTTATAGGCGTATGACTCAAACGTAAACGCATTAACGTTTTGCTTTGTGTCTTATTTAAATAATAATAAAAACTAACAACTTGGTTTGCATTTGTTTTGCTAATAACGTACAATGATAATAAAAAAAAATGGAAAACAAAAATTACAATTAGTTTTTTTTTTTATTTTTTTATAAAATAAAGTAATCCATAATCTATACGCCACCCCTTTCTTTCCCGTGGGTGTCGTAAGATGCGACTAAGGGAGCGCGAGGGATGGGCAGCAACGTCTCTCTTAAAACATCTCCAAAGCTTAACTGCGGTTGCCAGTCCGTCTGTCAAGTGTGGCAAATACTGGTAAAAACCCCAAGGGAGAGGCTTATGATGATATGATGATGATGATGAATCCATACATGCAAATGGGTTGTTTTGAGAGGACTTATTACTGAATATAAAGGTGGGCTGTGCGGTTCTGGCTGTGCGGGGAATTTTTGATACAATAAATAAAACATAAAAAAAATGTCTATATATATATATATATATATATATATATATATATATATATATATATATATATATATATATATATATATATATATATATATATATATATATATATATACATATAATGCGACGTCTTACTGCCGAAATGGACCACGCTTGGTGTTACAAGATCGTGTAGTATGATAGCCCTAATATCATCACAAATTCGTATATCAGAACACAATTTATTTCAATCAAACTAACCATGTTTCATTGTCAATACCACTCTACACTTTATTAATCGTAGATTCTATAAAGTTAATATAAACTTCATACAGTGCTTTAATAGCGGAACCGATTGCAATCAGCATCCGAAAACCATTCGGACTATAGGCCGTGTCTACACTGGCCGTAAATAAATCGCGCCGACCCGCCGCGCGACTAAAAAAGCGGAAAGTCATTAATAGCCGCAGGGGTGTGTCGCCCCAACTTCACTACATACGATCACTTAACGCTAAATTGACTCGAATCTGGTGTATAAACAAAACACGAGCGAATGACACGCGCCTGAGGAGCGTGCAAGTATGAATGAACGCATTTGCGTTAAATGTACCGTAATTGCATCTTGATTTCTTTACGATGAAAAGAAATGATGCGTTGATGAATCATTTCGAGTATTTTGCTATATTTATATATTTATTCAAGTAAGACTGTAAACAAATAAATTCTTTTTTACAATGGAATAATTCTTATTGAGTTTCAATTACTAAATGAAAAAAACAAAGATTACTAATATTTTTTTCTGTGTAACGTTAACCTATGACGACTACATATGACATTACATATGTCTAGAAACTTGTTATTACCAGTTATGAAGATATTTCATCATAAATCGTTTTAAGTACGAATTTACCTAACTGCATTATAATTATGTACGCTTATTTATCATTAGAGTAAGCAGATATATATGACTATAACAGATTATTATAAAACCAATAACTATTATATTTATTGCTTATAACACTCCCGTATATTTTACAATTTTTCACACTAACCACGGTCACCAAATCTATTATAGAGTGCAATCAGCGGATTCCCGCTGCGACGCCGCGGGCGCCTGACAATATTGTGCTACTCGTATACAAAACGCGCGTGTCGCAGTGACACGCTGGCTCGTGTACACACGACTTTATATTTGCATGATCATACCGAAATAAATATGAGACCAATAAATTGTATGAGATAGGTACTGTTTCACTTTAATATTCTACTATATTAAAGTTAAACAGTAATAAATAATGGTCACTGATTTTGTTTAAAGTAAAACATTACAAATATACCCATTGTTTCATACATTTGAAAAACATCATATTATTTTTAAAATTAATGATTTTTCTGCCTTTTAGTGTTCATATAAATGAAATGTGGTTTTATTTGTTTAACGGATGCTTATGTTTTGCGCTGTGGATAACTATAATTGGCTAATATGTAGTAAATGTAATTTAATATGTATTCAGTGTTGTAAAAAGCTGTTGTTATCCTAAATAAAATAAAATAAAATAAATACCTCTAATATTTTTTTTGATATTACTATACTAACTACCCGCTCCGGCTTTGCATTATTTATACAAACTTAGTCCTGACAATTATAAATAAACACATAAAAAAAAAAAAAAAAAACTAAATAGGTGCAGTCATTCTGAAGTGATGCACCTAAATGCATTCGGTAATTTATTATAATTTATATAGATTTAATTGTAAATTTTATAATAATATTTAACAGACAGGAATACTATAGATAGGAAATAATAGATTAAAAATATGAAATTCATGTATTAAAAAAATACGACATAGAATAGTTACGCATTGCGCAATCACGGGGTCCATTTCCAATCAAACTAATACACCCCTTCACCTACATTAGCAACGCCTGCATAGAACCGAATAGGATCGTTTAAAGTGGTCATAAAAAATAAATCGGACGGCCAGTGATCGCCGACGCGGAAAGATCGAGTGGTAAGCGACCTTTTCATTGTACCCTTTTGGTGGCCGTAATGCGGGCGGCGCGCGCCAAAATGTTTTAACTCGTAATTCGAACGGGTTAATTGTTTTTGAATTTAAAATGTCAATGTTCATTTTGTTATTTTAGATTGTGTAATCTGTGGTTGCCAGTGTTAAAAAATTCAATTTGAAAAAATAATAGATTTGTGGTGAATTACTTTTCGCTGTTTTTAAATATAGCGAGTAATTTTTATTTATATTTTTTATGAAAATTTCTTTTTATTATTTATAAATAAGTCACCGGTTTGGTATTGAGTTCATTATTGTAACGAATCTAACAGCAACAGTAACGAAACTAACTGAACGTAACGAGACTGGAGTGTAACTACATTACCTTTGTTGAGCCCGAATTTTCATCGCAACTTACACAATTTGCACCTTATTCCACGGCGGTAAGATTTAACTTTATTGGGCCTCACTTTATATCACAAGTGCACTTTATTCGGCGGTGATAAGATTTACCTTTGCCGGACCGTATTTCGACCGCTCATCAAGCAATTTGTACCGTATTCAACGGCGACAAGATTCAATTTTCTAGATCGGATCGGTTACGTGGCCATTGGATAGGGTTGCTTGACATCCCCGGTTACTATGGCAACGCTTGGCTCCTGATACCTAATGGAAATGGAAAAATACCTACATTCAACAACACCCCTTGTAAAAATGAGAAGCTTCTAGCAAATTTTTTAAGAGACTAAATACTGTATCATAAAATCGGACATTTAGTTAGACATTAATTTATATAGTCTTTATTGGGAACATTATGAAAAGTATTGATATTAAAGACGGACTTAATGCTGTATAGCATTCACTTCCAGTCAACTTTTGGAAAAACAGAAATGTAAATAATAATATTAAAATGTTTATAAAGAGTTCAAGTAGATTTATTGGCTTTATATAATAATAGTTATATTAATATTATTAATGCGAAAGTTTGTAATGATGGACGGACGGATGGATGGATGGATGTTTATTCCTCTTTTACGCAAAGTCTACTTTACGGATTTGTAAATTTGAAAAATAACTTACACGGGCAGGTTGTTAGTTGTCCTAAGTTTTTTTTAATATAATAGACTGCTAACTCCACCTGCGCTAATGGTATACGCTGGCGGGGTACCAGTGACGGATGATAGATATCCCATAGATAGTTAGATAGTTAGCCCATCCTGATGAGTATACCTGGAATTCAACACGATTGTTTCCAGGGGGGACCACGTCGAGATCGACCTGACAGGGTATATTGCTAGTAATGGTCCGCATTACTAACTATCCTCTCGGGGGGGAAAGGGATTGTTAGTAATGGAGAATAGAAGAAAGTAATGGAAACTGAGAATCCCATTGCTAGCAATATACCCAACCAGGTCGACCTCCTCGCGGTTCTCCCTGGAAACTATCATGGTTAATTCCTGACGAATTCATCATCATGGGCTATGGGGAAAATAATTTTCATTAATTATAAATACAGATAAACATATTAAGACTTCAAAATTCGCCTGTATTTATATTTTATTTTTATTTATTATGATATCTTCTTTAAAACCGTAAAATTGATTTTCTTAATTCAAAATGGCTAATTTTAGTGGGAATCATCTTAATTTATAGATCCCATATTCAAGTATCTTTGGTCTTTCCAAACTCAATGATAAAGGGGGAAAGGGATTGTTAGTGATAGAGACTGAGAACCCCATTGCTAGCAATATACCCAACCAGGTCGACCTCCTCGCGATTCTCCCTGGAAACTATCATGGTCAATTCCTGATAAATTCATCATGATGGGCTAACTGACCTGTTTTCATTCTCATCTATCACCCTTCACTGGTGCTCCGCCAGCCTATCCTATTATCGCAGGCGAGGTTACCATACCATTTTCATCCATCAAGAAAAAACTATCGTCTCCCCCCCCCCTGTATCCTAACTTAGCACATAGAATACTTTATATACTCTTTCAAGCGAGTGAAGCCGCAGAATATATTTAGTAAACAAATAGCCTTAGTCTTCAAAAAGGACAAGGCATGAGGCACCATAATGTCATAGCGTAGTCTGTGGTATACTACTCTATTCATGTACCATTAAGTCATAAGCGACTGTTACTTGTTCCGGTCAGGTAGGGCGTGAGCTTGTTTGCCTTTATTAGTGCTAATACTATAAATATAAAAGTTTGTAAAAATGTTTGCATGTTTGTTACTAAATCAAAGGTGAACAGATTTAAAATAAATTTAGTGCACATATAGGTTATATACTAACTTCACACTCAGGAAACTTTATATACTTTTGCATGTGGAAAAACCCGTGGAAAATAGTTAGTACTTTAATAATAAAGTTAACTTACTAAATATCCAATAATGAATTAATGTTGGAATTAAAAAAGCATTATGGAATCAAAGCATCGCATCTAGAGATGGGCAATCCACCTGGGTGGGTTTAAAGTCTGGTGGGTAAAAACCGGGTGTTTTGGGTTTATTGGGTTTAAACCCCATAAACACCCAAATTTTTGGGTGTTTATGATTTTGTACTTCATCATCGTCATCTCAGCCGCAAGACGTCCACTATACTGGACATAGACAATATTATTATGCAGCCTACAGAATAAAAAACTTTTAATTTGATTTTGAGTTTATTAAGAAAGAGATGAAAGTAAAATGTAAAACTACAGTCAATCGCTGTCAGATTCAGAGTTATTACAAGCGATGAATTGTATAGGTTCGATAGGCTCTATTTCGTCTAAACTGTTATGTTCATTTACTTGCTCAATGAAAGCTTCTAAGGTATTTTCTTCATTAAACTGAATGTCCTCGCATTCAGCTTTATGTTTAAGATTCCAGTTATAACAAATGAATGAAATTTTTTCAGTTCTTTCAGTTGTAAGTCGATTTCTTTTGTTATTATGTATGTAGCCTTGGATACTAAAGGAACGCTCAGTGGCTGCCGAAGTACAGGGAGCTGATAGAATACGAATCGCTACTTTGCTTAACTCAGTGGAACCACAAATACCTTTCCACCATATTAGGGGCTCAATGCTATCTAATGAGCTCCATACAAATCCTCTGGCCCAAAAGTTTTCTTTAGCTTTATAACACGCCAAATCTGCCATTACATTTGACAAACTTAAGTGTTGGCTTAAATTGTAGATAAACTCCATACCCTTAAGTTCTTCCTCTTGAGTAAGTTCGACTCCTAGAGTCCTGGGGTCTAGAATATATGCTGCAAAATGTATTGGCCTCATTGCCATATTGCATCTTGAAGATACTGATGTTAGAATCTGCTGTTTGCTTTCTTCGCTCAATGTCGAAATCTCATTTAATGCAAAACGTATCTTAGCTTGTACATCTCTAAATGTAATGTATGTGCGATGCAAACGATTCTGGTCGCTCTCTAAGTAAAATATGCTTTCAGTGACTGGTTCCAAAATACTTATACATTCCCCTGTCTTCGTCCAGAAATCATCACTTAGAATTAAATCTTTAATATCTCTTGAAATTACCACATCTTCTCTAACTGTTAATATTTGCAAAGCTATCTTATTTGCTTTCAAACTTTTTAACGAAGTAACATGACTTCCCCATCTTGTAGCACAAGGCAATTTTAGTGTTTGTGTAGAATCTTCACCCTGCCTTGATTTTATCAACAAGGAACTTAATCGTTGACTCCTTTTAACAGTTTTTATTATATTTATGGCTTGCATAATAAACACAGTTACTTCTTGTATCTTTACAATATCTTGGCACAACAAGTTAAGGATATGTGCACAGCAACCGAGAGGAACAACATGTGGATATTTGAGTTTTGTTAATTCGAATGCCTTTTGTATATTTCTAGCGTTATCGCCAATAAGTACAAGAAACTTATTTGCTCCATACACTTTCATTACTTTTTCAACTTCTTGGCTAAGGTATTCACTAGTGTGAGGATTACTTTCTGTATTCAAACTTTTAACGTATGCAGGTTGAGGTTTTGATATAAGAAAGTTTATTATTCCTTCATTTCTTAAATTAGACCAGCCATCGCACTGAAGGTGTAAGTAACTACAAGCATTTAGTTCCTCATTTAACTCAAAACGCATTTCTCTATATATTTTATCTAAGTATTTTGTCGCTAAAGCTTTACGTGAAGGTATTTTAAATTTTGGTTGCAATTTTTCGAAAAATTGTATCCATAAAGGATGTTGCACCATCGATAATGGCGTCCTTGTTACAAATATAGCTCTCGCTAATTCTGTTTTTATATGATCATCGGTGTCTTGAAACTCAGCATTTATTGTAGTGTTAGCAGACGACGAGGGGCTTATAAAAGAATCATTTGTCTCTATCTCTGACAGTCCAGACATTTTGGTTTTGGACGAGCTATCTTTTATAAGTTTCATAGAGTCTTTTAATGTTTCTGGAGATTTTGGACAAGTGATAAGATGTTGAAGCATTTTGGCAGCATTACTGAATTTGTAGACCTTATTACAAAGCTTGCAAGAAACAGACTTGTTTGGTAAAGTACGGTAGTGCTCCCATATGCGTAAATCTTTAGGTCTCCCCATTGAACCTAAAAAAATGAACGATGATTAGTTGGTCTGACGAAAATTCAACAATAGAGTGCCTATTTTTTTACAATGATTATTTCTTGTTATTTACAATAAATTTATTAAAAAAATAATAAAATAAATACAAAAAACCTTTGTAAAATTACATCTCCTCGGAGGATTAAACGCAGACGCTAGTTTATTATCGTATTGTTCTGTATTTTTCTCAGCAACTTCTTTAATTCGATTAGGTACTTACGCATATTATGTTAAAAATAAATATCTAGTACACATCTTAGGCTATCCACCATTATTATCCAATGACGACTCTCAGCTAACTATGCACTATCATCCAAAATAAACGTGTATGGAAAATTTTATCCCAGTCGGTTGAGGATTGAGGATAATTGCATCAACATACGAACATACCTACATACTTTTATTTACATAACGCAAGCTAAATAAAAGCTTGTAATAATACATCTAATTTTAAGTTAAAATTGTTAAGTGATCATGATATAATTGTATCATTCAAAAATCCACTTACCTTTAATTATTTCTTGTTAAGTATAAATATTATTTCAAATCTGCTCCCTTAATATGCACTTTTTTACTGCTTTTCCTACCTAACACGTTACCAGGAAGTCACGTTACTAGAGTCAGAGTAATAGTGAACACGTTTGACAGTGATTGTCGTCGCCTCATATTCAGCGTCGACGAATAGGGGAATCCCCAGTCATAATGTATTGCATGCGTGGCGGTCTTACTTCAAATGCATAAACAAAGAGATAATTACAGAACTCGATACTAGATGGCGCTGTTTTTGTTTGAAGAAAGTTTGCGGGCTAAAATACATAGAATTTCATCAATGACTTCCACAAAGAACAACATTTCTGTTTTTTCTAAGTCCGTATCTCTTCCGTATATTTCATAAGATATAAGCTTGGGCTACATTGTTATGCAACGTGATTTTGTCGCTGTCTTGCTAGCAGGGTTGACAGATATACGATTTAAATCGTACTCATACTATTATTTGTCTATTTTTTAATGTACGATCGTAAAGATTATGATCGTAATTCGCACAAAAACATTCGACTTTTTGGTTACCTGGCAACATTTTTATTATGAAACGAACATGCTCACATCATCAGTCACATGCAACAATTTATTGGGGATTTCCCCTTCACATCTGGCAGTCCTGCTTGCTAGAATATAGGTAAGTCAGCCACAGTTACTGACGATCGATATTTAAAGGGTATTGTTTTTGTGCTAAATATTTCATAAAAACGTTATTTAATACTTTGTGGATTATTAATTTAGTTGATAATCACTGGAAGTAAAATGGATGCTAATTTGAGAGATCAAGATCTTCGTATAAAACAGTTAATAAAAGAAAATCTACGTAAGTACTCTTTTTATACCTAGGTAGGTAAGGTATAATAAACACAAAAGGTACTTAGATCGCGTGTGTTCGAAGCATTTATTCTAATAAATTTAATTTAAAATTGTAGAAAGAAAAAAATGTCTGCCAAGCCGTAGCCGAAGCCGATATCCAAATATATTTGGCGATAGTGAGACCCAGTGTCCAGATGATTTACCCAGCGTCGTCGCAACAAAGAAAAAAAACGAGGATAAAGTAAAAGAAAATTTACTGAAAGAAGAAACAAACTGTTCTAAATGCTTAATTTATGGAGAAGAGGATAAAAGAAATGAGTATTTCGGACTGTTAGTGGCTCAAGAATTTAAATATATACGGCCATGTGTGCGAACGAGGTGTTATGAAGAAATTTTAAAGTATCTACGGGAAGCAAAAGGCCAACATGTTGATCAACTGCAACATGAAAACACTGAAAATTAATTACTTTCATTTTATTATATATAGATTTTTAAAATTTCCTGAAATATTATTAGTTAACGTTTTATTTAATATTGTAGAATTGATCAATACAATTTATAAAAATAATTTATTGGTATTACTTACATATTTTCAAAAAAATACGTAAAAACCTATTTTTTTGGGTGATTATGGGAGTTTATGGGTGTTTATTGGGTTTTTACCAAAGCACCGGGTTTAAACCCGGTGCTTTGCCCATCTGTAATCGCATCAAAAACCCTTAGAATCGCAATTCATTAGCGACATAACACAATTATTAATACATAGGGAGTGGAGATGGAGCTAATTGTGGTGGATCCAAATAACAAATTAAAATTTGGGAAAGTAATTTGTACGAGAGTTGCTCTATCATTCCGTACAATTTGCATTGCAATGCTCTGAGATCAGGGTGTCTATGCTACTCTCTGCATATAGGACAACTTTTCTTTATTACAACATTATCATCATCATCATGATATCAGCCGTTAATTGTCCACTGCTGAACGTAGGCTTCCATTATGCCAATAGTTACCACGCTTGGCAAGCAAGTTGGCAACCGCAGTTAGGCTTTCACAAGGTTTTAAGAGGGACACTGCTGTTTATACCTCAACTAATAAGTTCCCTTAGTCGTCTCTTACGACACTCACGGGAAAGAAAGGCTTAGCACATCCTATGCCGGGACCACACAGTCATTTTTTATTATATATAATGAATTATGGCTTCGCTCCAGTGTTACATGTTTTATTTACATAAAATACAGCCCATATTACTGTCTGACAATGTAGCTTTCTACATGTGAAAAATATTTAAAATTGATTAAAAATTTTTTGAATTTATTCATTACAATCAAAAAAGTAAAAACTTTTGTCTTCATAATATTAATTTAAATACACATTTTAATGAATATGTAAAAATAATATTAATATATTTCTATAATTTATTTATTGGAAAAAACTTGATGATTGGACTGATGGTATTGCAGATATTTTCCTCGTTGCATATAAATTGTAAAAATTGTAAATTGTACTTTATGCAACTGTATCTTTCTTGAATAAAAATATTATTATTTATTTACTTAACTATGATCTGATTATAATCTTTACTAAACCTTATTTTTAATGTCTGACTCCACTATTCTGTATGCAAATATGAGATTCAATAAGATTCTATCAACTCTTTGTCTATATCCTTTGTGTCTGTTTCTGTGGTATTGTAGTTCTTAAATTGATGAACCGATTTTAATGCGGTTTTTATTTCAAATGCTGAATTGTTGTCAGTCGTCAACATATTCAACCGTCGGAATAAAAACCCAGCTTATTTGGCTTATTTGATGATTAAGATGAAAACGCGATCACCCTCAAAAGATAGTAGCATATAGGATAATTTTTAGCTAGGTTCTAATGAGAAACAAAAATTTTTATTTATAGTTTGTATTAAAATAAAATACATCTTATTTTATATTTGCTTTTGTGGTCAATTACCACGTCAACCCATCGGGACCTTTTGTGCTTTTCTCTGTCTTATACTACTATATTATACATTTCTAAGAAATCTACAGTTTCCTGACTTCGGATAAGCCGTTCTCAGTAGACTCATATGCATATTTGCCAACAAATCACAGTTGAACATCAGGTTTTCCATAGATTCCGATTCCTCACTGCACATTCTGTACAGTATATGCAAAGGTAGACACGTCATAATTATGATGTAAGTGTTAAGTTACATACAGTAGATAAGGAGATAATCCTAAGTAGAGACACTGCTCGTGGTCACCACAAGCGTGTCGGGTAGCGCGGTGCGGAGCGGCGGCGGCGTCGGGCGAGCCACTCTTCAAACTTGGCATGTTGAAATAATTCGCTCCCCGCCGGAATGATTTACCTAATAAAAATTATGCTGATCCATTTACAACTTTTATCATTTCCACTGCGCCCCCGCAATTCATGCCGCATGCCTGCCTCTTGTTTACTCATTTTATCTAAGTATATTTGAATTGTATTTTAAAATTAGGATTGTTTTTACTTTAAGATTAGTCTAGTGACCTCTTTTGTAATCATTGTTCGATTTTAATAGATCATAAGGCAAAAAACAATTTTCCAAGTTCGTAATTTACACTACATAGAATTTACAATCAGAAAGAATGTATCACAAGTATTAGTTTTGGAGTAAATTTAAGTTCAAAGATCACACACACATTGGGATGGCATCGTGCTTATTCACATAACATGTCGATATCGAGACAGAGCAGAACGGAAGCAAACAAATCTACAAACGGCACACAGCGAGCTGCGAGCGCGACGTCAAAGGCACGAGCGATTCCTTACAAATTGCATTTACGCGTCCCGCGGGCTCGCCCTTATCGAGTTTGTTCTCAAAGAGCCGCCATTTTTAAAACTTCCAACGACTCAGGTAGATCGGTTCAGGCAACGGCCAATTGTGGTTCCGCTTTGTTCTTTACCTCCTTTATAGGGTTGACGAAGTTAGCGAGTTTCGGCGCACGAATAATTTGTGTTCCCGGTCCGCAGCCGCGCGATGCGATTACGCGAGTTTCCGCGGAATCCGATCCGACAGTTTCCAGAATCGAATACTAGCGGACCGCTCCACCGAATCGAGTTCCGAGCGAGAACTTTGTTACGATTACACGTAATACTGTCAGCGACTTGCGAGTTGCGACATCAAAGGGTATGCGATTTGATTTAGGAATCCCTCAACAAACGTTGCAAATCGAATCAGTTATTTAGATACCAAATTGCAACGCATGTAAATAGAGTGAATTAAAACTCCAAATCGAAATAACGCACTGAGCGTGCCCGCTGAAATGAGCTCATTTCTATTCGGCGCGCAAATGAATTCGTAACTCAGTGAAACTCATAAAATCATCCGCGAAACACAGTTTTATTAAACGAAAACAGAGCTAACGCGGTCCGCGCATAAGTTAACATAACATTCCGTTGCTTGTTAAAAGATAAATTAGAGCATTCGCTTCGGACGTGAAATGTATTCGCGGATCCAATCCCGCGCTCCCCGAGGCGCGCTCCCTAATTGCTTAAGAGAAAAATCCAAATGAGAAATGAAAAGGGATTCTCTTTTCAGAGGAGAAATTATATAATTGAATATCTTCCTCGTAAGTATTATGAGGTATAAAATATGATAATTTGGTTTTTGCTTACGGTGAGCGAGGCGGACTGGATCTCCGTTCCCCGCACCCCGCGGCCTGCGCCCTCACTCCAACGCTCCTTGTTATTTTGAACTTTTACTAGAGCTACGGCCACTACAGACAGATTGTTTGCTCACGTCGTACTGTGAACAAAATTTTTATTTTAATATATTCTCATTAACAAAGTTATTTATTTCGCATGCAAATTGGTTAAATAAATAAATAAAATTATTTTATACTAGCTTTTATCCGCGACTTCGCATGACTTAAATATGTTCACTGATTAAAGTAGTAGATAAAAAGTAGCTTCCTTCTCCATCCCATATAGTATCTGAATATCAAAATTTCATAGTGATTACTTAAGCTGTTAAGGCGTCAACAATTATAATTTTACATTTATAATATTTTATAAATGTGATAGTGAGTTTGTTTGTTTATTTGTTTTATATTTATTTATTGTTTCCTTATCATTACTAATATGTAAGAATAAGGATTTTTAGATCAAATATTGATTCGTAACCAAAATCGTAATCGTATTTATTTGTAGGTACACATCTATTTCCACTTGGTCTTCTAATATTGGTTAAGGGGCTTCTTAGCGAACTGCGAGTATTTTATTCTCTTACTTCTCCAATTTTTGTTTAGCGTTAACGAAATTTTGCGAGAGCATTATTTTGTTGCTCATATGTTCGTGGACCACTTTGAGCATTGTTACTGTAGTGTCCTTTTAGTACAAATATACTTGTTACAGCTCTTGTTCAGTATTCCTTGTCATTTTAGTTTAATCTATTATTTTATTTATTATTATTTTTATTTGTTTGTTTTTATTTAAGACCAATATTATTAAGTATATGAAATTTAAAAAATGTCAGCTTTTATTTTATAAATATCGGACTAAAACTAGAATGGAATCAACCTGGGAGAAAACCTTATAAATTACAAATGTTAACGAAGATACTGCGTAAACAAAAAAAAAACAACTATCTCATTATTTTGTAAAGTTGATTGATGATTTAATGGTTTCCTATTACAGGTTTATATAGACAGAAAATGGTTTGGGACAAGTATTACCCGGACTGGTACTCGTTAGAGGATTGTTAGCAATCAGGGTATTTGTCTGTAACGTCGTTAGGGGACGACGTCGCGTCGATCGTGACTTGACTGTTTAATACTGTTTAAGTCAACTGTTTGTGGCTCGTCTGTGGAGTACCACGTTGTTCTTTGTGATCTCTGTAAATAGATCAATATGGATTATTGACACTTTAAGCAGAACTTAATGAAAATACAAAGAAACGAATACATCGAATCAACCAAATGATAGTTTACTGATGACCAACAGTAGTATAAATAAAAAATTGACTAATTGACTGAATATTTGGATTTGTTACTAATATGAAATTAGTATGATAATATCAATAAAAATTTACTTACTTGTACTGCACTACAGGATTACGTTGGCGGTACCATTGAGAGACGATATTTGATGTTGAAATCACGAAGAAGTTCTGTTGTCACATCTAGATGTATTCATCAGGAATTAACCACAATGATTCTCAAGGCGGACCACGTGAAGGTCGACCAGACAGGGTAGCAAATTGATATCAATAAGGTTGTTACACTCTATAACTAACAATTGTTTCACTGTTGTTATTTGTAGTTAGTTTTATTATTCATCTTCTATGTTTTGAGTTATAATTTAACGATCTTTACCGCAAACGATTGAAAAGAAAGCTTTCTGAGTGGAAACCCAGTACAGCCAAATGCAACATAAGACATTCTCTTTTATTATCCATTATTTTTTTTATTGTTAGGGAGGCAAATGACTGGACTGTCCACCTAATGAAAAGTGGCTACCATCGCCAATAAACACCTGCAATACGAGAGGAGTTGCTTTTTTCTTGATTTTTGAACACAGATCTCCCCCATAGATTACCATAAAGAACGGTCCGACTCACCTTTTTTTTTTATACAACTTAGAATGGCAAACAAGCTGACGGCCCACCTGATGGAAAGTGGTAAACGTCGCCTAGAGACATGAGCAGTACCATGGACATAACAGAGTA